CTTATACTTTTTTTCTAAGAATCACCATTCCTGAGATATCGCGATTCTAAAAGTTGAAGGAGTCACGTTCTACATGATATGCACATATATGCCACGTATATACATAGTCAGGCACTTAATGCAAGTAAATATGCCTATTTGTGTCTCTTGTATGTATAAAGTATACTATTCTGAGAATATACACTCAAAAGAAATTCAGTCCTTAGTCAAAATGACGCAGATGTCATTATAATTGAAATAGCAATAGAACCATTTAATGCAACAAATACATCTATGGTAGTTGATGAAGATGTTGACTTATTAATACTACACACTGCACGGGCTCCAATTGATAAAATTATATACTTTTTAAAACCTGGAAAGGCTCAACAGCGAACAGAAATATATTCTTCAAAAAGTTTATCTGCTTATCCAAAATGCCAAAACCATAATCTTATTTTTACATACGATAACCGGCTGGATACTACATCAGCAATGTTCAGAAGGGGTAAAACATCAGTATTAAAATTATTTGGAAAAAAATAATTGATTGATTGCAGAAATTGATTCTTCACCTCAAACAATAATCACAAAAGGAATTCGCTTTCTCCTTGCTGTTAAGGAGCTCCAAAAAAATTGATTGTATAGATAAATATAGATATTTAACTTCTGTAAAAAATACACGAAACAAGAAACAAGTACAACTATCTTGTCTTCCTCCAACATCGGCTTCTGCTAATCAACACTTGTATCGATATACTATCAAGTTCAGACATCATCAACTGAACCCAGAAGACTGGGGTTGGAAATTAACAGATAATACTTTGGAACCGATTCAAACTTTACTTCCACCTGCTCTGGAAAAACCCATAAACACTATTTTTTGCAATTGCAAAAAAGGTTGTAGTGCTAAATGTGGCTGTAGAAGAGTAGGGTTACTGTGTTCTCCAGCGTGTACTAATTGCCAAAGCCAGTCTTGCTCAAATGTCCAATTGAATACAACAGACGAAGATTCATGTGATTTCGATGAAGAGACAACTGATTCATCTTCATTTGAACAATTTATGAACATCCAGTAAGAAGAAGAGGAAGAATAAGAAGAAGAAATCGAAGAAGACATGACTGTTGAAGTCGACTTTGAAGAGTATGAATCAGATTAAAATATCAAAAGAAATCAGAACTACAGTTAAAGTCAATAACAAATATCAATATCAATAATCATCATACAGTTAAAAGAGTATTGTCCCTGGAAATTCCGTCATAACAGTTCGTGGAGTTGGCCTACCGGGGAAACCACGTTAAAAAAAACGCGTCAAAGTACACTACCTCACAGGTGGTGTGTGGAAAAGTGTGCATATCATGTAGAACGTGACTCCTTCAACTATTGGAATCGCGATATCTCAGGAATGGTGATTCTTACAAAAAAAGTATGAGGACTAGTTTTGTAGATAATTTTAAGATCTATAATTTTTGTCAGGGCAACGTTTTTGATAAAACTTACCGTTTTCGAAAAAAATCCAAAAAACCTCAAATTTTGACCTTTGACCCCGAATGACTTTTTTAGCACACATGGAATCGATGGGGACTTTTGAAACTTTATTTCTAATGGTGTACCCAAGGTCTCCACCAAAAAGCTCTGTGGGTGATTCAGTCATAATGTCATTAATTTTAATCACGTATTCGGAAGGCTTAATAAAGACAGAAAATCGGACAAAATTTTTTACTCGACTTTTAAAAATGAAGGAAATCAACCCATAACTCCCGCTAAGAAGGCGGCCCTGCCAGATGCCCGGATGCTCGGAAAATTTTGTAACGTAATGTCACGAACATACAGTCAGCTGAGGCGAACAGCGTTGCCAAGTTCACATTATAATCACATTTAATTTTAAGCCGGTCAGTAACAGCCTGAAAAGGGGGTTAAATAATTATTTGAAAATATTTTCTTTCAGCTTAAATATGCATTTAATTTTTTTTTTAATCACGTCATCGTATTATACTCATTTTTCTCTATCTGCTCTTAAAATTAATGACATTATGACTGAATCACCCTGTAGAGTATTATTTAAAAAACTTAATCAAATAGACAGAACCAGCCCAGAAATGGTTCAACAACTGACAACTACCAGAAAAGCTGTAAGCTTGTGTAGAGAATAAGGTATGGCTTACTATCAGGCAAAGAAAAAAATTGGTGAAGATGATCTCACCTTTGTACCCGTTCTCTCGACCTTCCTTGTTATTTTTAATATCGATAAGCAGCTGCAAAACGTCGTTCCTTCTAACGTTGTTCTTTTCTCTGTAGGCGACAGTGTCTTCGACGACTTTGACGAAAAACTCCGTGATATCTTTAGCAACAGCTCGCACCTTCACTAGCCTTCCAAGGGCTGGGAAATTGGCTGCTATAGCAAACTGCAAGCTTCTCAATCTGGTTACGGTGAAGAAATTTTGGCCGTAAAGTCTGAAGGGCGAATCTGGTTCCTTGAAGCTGTTACACTCTATACCAAAAGCGCAGGAACCGATGATATCAGTTGTAAAACGAGCTGAAAAAAATAGTTGCTAGTAATAAGTAGTAATCCTTGATTCAATAATATTTGCTAGAACTTTTCAGTAGTTTATATCTATTTAAAGTTTTGTTACTTTTGGTAGAATCTAAAGTTAATGACAAAGCAAGGACGTCAATGGTGTAAATAAAATCATAACAATAAAATAATATGTTCATCTTTTTATCAGTTGAGAAATTTTCATGTCTAGAGTCTTATCAAACTTCATCAAAGTTCATGTGAATATGTTTCTGAAACCTCTCACAAATGACTTGCAAATAATCAAAACCATCTATAAACATCTATTACAGATCAGTCACTACTGTTTTTTATCAACATAATTTTTTTCCTACCAAAAACATCTTTGATATCTACAGCGTCCCCATTTGTAAGTGTTTCTTGAAAGTACTTTTCCAAAATGACCCCACAGTCCGTCAAAGTCTTGAACATAGCCTTCAGCTTGCCGGAAGTAAAGGTGGGGGTAACTTTGATCCTCAAGTTCCTCCATTTCTTGCCTCCAATAGAGAAGAGATGAGCCCCTGCAAAAATAGGAACATGACATGAAAAAAAGTTCGATAAGGGTGAGGATTACTTGTATATTTAAATAAAGCTAAATTCCGTACCTAACGGGTCGTCCTTGCCATTCACAAAATTCGCTCTATCCACGAAATGGCTAAAATCCTTCGTCATCACATGCTTCGCCAGGTCTAAGTCTACAATCAAACCGATAGGACTTGCCAAGGCGTATAACCCACAGAATTTATAACCTGGAAAGGGAAGAAAGGGTATAAGTAAATAAAAAGTATACTCTTTCGATTCCTAAAGTGTGCTACAAAAAGGCATTCCAGAACAAGGGAAACAAAAATAGCAAATCGTCTTCGATTACCAGAAATTTAATGAAGTTACAATTGATGATAAACACACAATCATACGAATAGTGGACATTTTGATAAAGTAGAGAAAGCACAATATTTTATCACTTTGGATTTAGGATTCCACCAAATTCAAATGCATGAATGGTATCGCGGAGCACTATGAATTCACGCGGATGTCGTTTGGATTAAAAGGAGCACCTTCCACCTTCCAGTTATGGATAACGTTTTGAAAGAAGTAGCTAGTAACGTTTGCACCAGTCTTCAAGACCAAGAAAATTCAGCTGGACAAATAAAAATTCATAAGATATATTTAAGGATATCAAATTATCACATAAGTTCACTTTATCAGAAATCTCTATTATCAATTATATCGATTATAATTTATATAATATTAATGATACTTTCCAAGCAATGCCTAACAAAAAATTTCTTATCCTAACAAATCAATATTACAGTCTGTTAGATAAAGTACATGTACATCAGTAGATAACGTTTATTAATAATAACTTGGATTTAATTAATTTAGATGATAAGCTTCAAGTGAGACTCAATTATAGTTCAAGGAACCAAGGGTTTCCCCTCCGAATTCTTTCGGATAGAACCGATGGACTGTAAGTAGAAAATAGATCAAGGAACAAAAGTTATATAGTGCCGATGAGTACTTTTGCACAGGGGGTAGAAGCCACCCCTTCTAGGGAGAGAAAAATAAAATATTGAAAATAACCCCAGGAATCGATAAAGCAATCGATTCTAAGCAAAAAGTACCTTATGAACATTTTTCTATAAGTCAATATTTTCTGAGTTGTTGGTGATTGAAAATGTACATTTTTTTATTAAAAAAAAGGTTTTTCAGTAGTTTTTCTCGAATAACTCGGAAAATAGACATTCTATGAAAAAAACATTACGAAGAAAATGAAGCTTACAGGAAAAGAAAAAGATTGAGTTTTTTCTCATTTATGTAGGTGCAATAGATGCTGGGATACGAGACAACACTAATTGTAACAAGACTTCGCAGCGTTGCCAACTCAACATATCTAGTTATTTACCAAGGTCAGTTTAATATCAAAGTGGTGTCGCGGGAAAATTTAAAATACTTTGTAGGTAGTTCTCATTAAATAAAATAATACTAAAGTAATAAAATGAATGCATAGCGACACCCAATAATAATAAATTAAGCGTAAAAATTTGTGATACTTTTTCTTGTTTTTTTATGTAAATATAACGTAAAATTAATTGTATATCACGATCTTATATTTTCCACAAATACTAATTTTAAAATCACAAAAAGTCATCTGCTAAACTACTAACTTTTACCAAGTTATAATAGTATTATATTGTTTAGTTTATTTTGCTAAATAGGTTTATTAAAGGTAAATGAATTGGTGCAATAAGTATTAAAGACTAAAAACGTTGACTGAAATATTGAGAGAATATTTTAATCAACACCAAAATATTTTTTTTAGGTTTCTTACCGTGGCAATATTCCTTAATGATTATCTTAATATATACCTAAAAATGTTAATGTTATTAGGTAAAACAACAATTGTGCGGTATCAGGAATTAAAAGGTCGATGAAGAAAAAATGAGAGGGCAGTGCAGATGAATATGAATAGATCAGAAGAATCAGTAGTTGCAGTTTGACAATGATTTCACAACAATCAGCCCCTGGCTGATAACACCGCTGCATTTTTTTTAGGAAAAGTGTAATATTAAATGCAAATTAAAAGACTTATAATAGTTAGATTTTTATTTAGATCCATTTACAGAAATTCTAGATTTATTGCTATACAAAATGTTTACTGATGAATTTTTCTGATGGTAACAGAAATGCCAATGTATGTAAACAAAAGCAATAACAATTGGTAAAAATTATACAAAATATAAATCAATGTACTCAAGACGTAGAGTGTAGATGCGGAAATTAAAAAAATATATAAACAATATTTATGTTTGTCTTACATTCAAAATACATAGTAAAGAGTGGAAACAAAAAAAAATTCTTTTAATGATAAAAAATGTATGATATGTAAGTCGGAGACGCTTTCATTATAATCAATGTAGCTATAAAAAAAAAACAAAACAAATAAAAATGTGAACGAATGGCACTTTCCTAAGTTTTCTATAATCCATAAACTATTAAAAAATAAACAATTGAACCTTATTTAAAGTGAGGTTATTTTACCTCCACCAGAAACTCGTGAAACTTAATTGATACCAACTAAATTTAAACAATAAAATTTGGTAAGCAACTAAATTCTAGTTCGATTTATATTGGCAACATTGCGAAATCTTGTTACAATTAGTGTCGTCTTGGGATACGGCTGGTTGAAGATAATTTCATGTACGCCAGAAACTAAATTGGAAGCATTGGACTTAAAATAACTAAAAAAATTCTATTTTTCAAGAAAAATGCACAGAAAATTTGTAAAAGTAGGTACTTTAAAAAAATCTTTAAAATGAACTTCACTTTAAGTCATTAGCATAAAAATTAACAGAGTTATGATCAAAATAAAATTGTTAATTCGCTTTTTCGGAAAAAAAATCAGTACAAAACTGATGATTTTTTCAGGAGACTTAAAATAAAAGGTAATCCTTCTAAAATTTACATTTTCTATGTACTAACAATGTATTATACAAATTTAAGCGGTTCAGAATGCATAATTTTGAAAATATTACTTTTTGATTGAAATTTTTTTTAACTCAAATATCAAATTTAACGAAAATAACATATTTTTGAAAATAACTTTAAAAATAAAAAATATACGAAAAATATTCACTTATACAAAAGTTTAGATTTTTTTTCACAGAATATTTGTTTTTTTTATTTGTGTAGGATAAAAATTAACAGAGATGTCGCTGCTAGAAGTTTGCAGTTGAGGGCGAAGGTCGTATTCTCAAACCCTTTAATCTAAAAAATCTCTGAAATAACGCGTTAAAAAATATTCAAATTTTCAGTACTTTTAGCTGTCGAAACATTCCGTAAAATCGTTTTTGAATCGTCTTAATAGCTTTAAAATTAAGGAAGTTATCGTTAAAAAACCAACGGTACCTTACCGCTTCAATTTTCGGAGTATATCAATATTTTGGTTATCCACAACTTTGGAGCATTCATAGGAAAATTTGAAATTATGACTTTCCCCATGAAAAAAATATTGAGAAATAATTATTTTGATTATTGCATAAATTATATTTTGTCATTGGGGGTGGCTTTTAAGGGTTAAAACAATGCGATAAATTATAAATTGTATTCTAAACAGGTAAAAGAATTTAATTTATCCTGTTTGTACTATCAAATCATTTCAAACTGTTGAAAACTATTTTTTTAATATTTTTTTACTAGAGGTAGTTTTTTAAGGGTTGAAATTTTGTATTAAATTATTTGTAATACCGTAAACTATTGAAAAGATTTCTATTTATAAAATATGCGCTATAAAAATATATTAAAGTCAAAGAAACTAAATTTTATATTTTTATCGTTAAGGGTGGTTTTTAAGGGTTAAAACTTTATTAAAAAAAACACAATCACCCTAGATATTCTAAGGAATGTGAGAATACCATTTGAAGACAGAATAAGATGCTGTATTCAAGAGAATGGTTATCAATTCGATCATCAATTAAAATTCTTCTTTGTTTCTTCTAAAAGTAAAATTCCCTTTAATAAATATTTTTCATATTGTTCTTAATTAATTTAATTGGGTGTCCCATCAAAAATAACCAAATTATTGCTGTTTAAAGTTCAGAGATTTCAGCAGTTTTTTTAACACCCTGTACAATACTAAGTGACGACAAATATAATAATTTATAACTTCAAAGATCTAAAATACACTCTCCAAAACTGCTTCCTTAAAATAATTTTCTTATTGGTAATATTAAATTTCTACGCTAAGCCTGCATTTTCACTAAAATTGAAATATCTCCCAAACAATAAGACCTAGATATGCAAAACATTTAATAAAGTTTACCTATTTTTTACGGTGCTTTCAAAAATGCAGAAAAATACAGGATGTTCCGTTTAAAAATACATAACTTTGATATGGTACGCTTTTCCTGGACACCCTGTATATTTCAAAATATTTTTTAAATGTAGCCGTAATCAATCTACACGTACCCACTTAAACAGGTTTCTACAACATTTGCCGTTTGGTCCCTAGCCACCGAAGCGTTACTGGTGGCCCACCCTGTATAGTTCACAATAATAAATAATTTAATATAATCCACAGGTCAACATTAGACAAATATGATTGTTACAAGTGATTTTAAACATACCTTTAGCTCGAGCTCTGTCGTACATATTTTTTACCCTGTCACTGATTGATTCCTTAATATTCAGAGGATTAGAAAAGTTCCCAAAGGGAATACTAGGTTCCAGGTAAGGTACATTTTTCCTGGCCCAATATTGGTAGGTCCACTTGAGGTAGGCGTAGATTGCCAACAAAAGCGCGATAAAGACAGCCAAAGCATCCATTAACACATTTCCTGTGAAGGTCGTCATTTCTTTCTAAAAAAGACTGTAATAGGTGACTAGTATATGGAAATAAATAACAGCACATCATTTGTTTTGTATTATTATTATCGCTTGCTTTCGCTACCCTTCTTTTTTGTTAGAACTTTGATTTGAAAGAAGATAAAATAAAACCATTACAAACAATTTTCAAAATTGTAGATATTGATGTGTTTTCATTCTTTTAAAAAGAAACTACAAGAAAATTAAAGAAAATCTTTAAAACTTACAATGTAAATGTAACTCTTTTTATACGCTGTTAGATAATATCCTCTACCAAATTTCTATGGATACTTTTTTAAAAAGGTCTTTCTGTGATGCCTTCTATACCGATAATTATTATCTGTACGTGCATTAAGTTGCTAGAATATTGAACACCACTCGCAAACAACACAATTGTGGATCTGGAGAATTACTGAAGTACGAATCACTAGACCACTTCCTATACTTATGATTAAGAGACAGCGATTACAATTAGAATTAAACGTACTTGGAATTTCCTCTATAATTTATAAACATCTGATGAGGACAAAGTTTGATAAATCTGTTAATACTTTGATCACACTACGATAAGATAATGGGGCTGAATCACGTAATAAGGTTCATATAATTATTATTTATTAAAAACGTCGAGGTAGTATGGCTTGTTACTAATGTATTCGTAGAGTTAAACTAGAATAGTGTTTGGAGTATACAGGGTGGCCAAATGAAAACGAAACAGAGCCATTTTCAGGAATTGCGTCAAGATTGTAGAAAAACGCTCAGACCCGTCGATTTTAGATTAAAGGGGGACATTCTTTGCTGGTATTTTTGACTCCGCCACTTTCACCCCCCAAGCAAGGGTAAGCATCACCCCAAAATACTTAAATGGCATTGGGGGTTGAGTAATACTTCTTTTGAAAGTTCTTACAATTCTCTTTACAACAGACTTTAAATTTTATAATTCCGCCCAATACTTTGAAAAAAATTTACATTTTAAAATTTAAATTATGTTTAGTTGCTTACTTACTACTTAGTTAGTTGATTAAATGTTCAAACTGATGACCGCCCGCTTCCATACAAGAACAAAGATTTTGTTCGAAACGTTCGCGAACATTCTGAAGCATTTCCGGAGTGATTCGACGGCATTAGTCGACGATTCTTTGACGCAAATCTTCCAGCGACGATGGCTGTGTTTAATAGATTTTACTTTTTAAGTATCCCCACAAAAAGAAATCAAGGGGCGATAAATCCGGTGATCCTGGAGGCCACTCAATGCTGCCTCTTCTCCCAATCCAATTCCGTAGAAAACGTTGGTCCAAATACTGACGGACAATTAACGCATAATGCGGAGGAGCAACGTCCTGTTGAAAAATCAAATGATCTTCATCATACTCTGGAACATTTTCAATAATATCAGTCAAGGCAGGGTCAATAGCGTCTTCCAGTAGTTGCAAATACATTTGGCCAGTCAAATTACCAGGCAGAAAAAAAGGATCCACCAGCCGGTCACCGAAAATTCCAACCCATACATTTAATTTTTCCGGTGTATGCACCTCGTGAAAAACTCTTGGGTTTGAATCGGACCAAAGCGGCAATTGTGACGATTTACCGTCCCGTTCAAGAAAAAACTGCATTCATCAGAAAAACAGATGTTAAAAAGGAACTGTGGATCGTTCCCTGCTCGCTCACTCATTATTTCGCAAAATTGCAAACGGCGGTCATAATCATCCTCATGAAGTTCCTGGACTAAATGTATTTTGTATGGATGAAATTTATTCTTCTTCAAAATGGTTTGTATGCTAGTTCGATTGATCTCAGACACATATGCCAACTGCATCATACTTAATGTAGGATCAAGATGAACTTGTCCCAAAACTGCAACTTCACTAGTTTCATTTACGTTTTTCAATTTCTCGTTTTTTATTGGCTACGTTCCCTGCCCCTTGAAATTTTTTTACTAACTCTAGAAGATACTTCCTCCTGACATGTCGATCTTGATGTTGTTCATTAAATAGCTGAGCTGTTCTATTCGCACATTTATTGTTTATAAAGTAAACCGAAATGATATCTACCCTTTCCGCAATGGAATAAACCGTAGTGTTTAATTTTCAATAACACAATTAAATAAACTACCAACCAACGCTTTCAAATAATACTAGAAAATAATTTGGAATCCACTAATTTTTTTTTCATTGTGTGTGTATAGCATTCAATTATGTTTTTTACAATTGTGTTTTTTTTACGAAGGTGATAACAAATCGCCAAAAACCAATGTAACGCAAGAAATACTAAATTTATACCATTGGCGTACTTAACTCGAATGACTGACATTTTTACCGTTACTAATTGTTTGTATATAAGTTTCAACTTTAAAATCAAAATTCTTAATAAGTATTGGGCGGAATTATAAAATTTAAAGTCTGTTGTAAAGAGAATTGTAAGAGCTTCCAAAGAAATATTACTCAACCCCCAATGCCATTTAAATATTTTGGGGTGATGCTTACCCTTGCTTGGGGGTGATAGTGGCGGAGTCAAAAATACCAGCAAAGAATGTCCCCCTTTAATTTAAAATCGACGGATGTGAGCGTTTTTCTACAATCTTGACGCAGTTCCTGAAAATGGCTCTGTTTCGTTTTCATTTGGCTACCCTGTATGTGTTATAGACTGTTGCTTGTTTGAGGAAAAGTCCAGAAAGCGCTCTCTCATCCTATGGACACCCTATGGTTGGTTACTCTGGATATTCTATGCCAGAGATGGGTATTAGCCGAATAAATATTCAATTCTATTCTATTCTAAATAGTCATACCTATTTATAAAGATTATCTTCAATTGTTTAAGATTTGTTAACAAGCTTCAATATTAACTTAAATTTATTGTAAAATTATGATTGACTAAATTATGACAAATTTTCTAGTCATTTAACTGACTCGGCCCTTTAGAATTCTGAAGATTTTTGAAACATCAAATTAAAAAAAAACAACTTAAAAACAGCAAAATTTTAATTACAAAAAAAAACTTTTGGTTTCGAAAACTTACCGTAGGAACTTATAAGTATGTGTAGTATTATAATGAGTAGTATAACCCCCTAAATGTTTTAATCCTAGTTTTCGAGGAACTGTGTCATACTGTTTCATTTGTAGATAAAAATATTTAAGCAGCTAAACTTAGAAAAAACTATTATCGTTTAAACACTAACTTTCGCATTTTATCAGAACACAGAATTGTTAGCAGTAAACATCGACTTGGTCTTATAAATGCCGAAATATTCACTATTTCCTTCACCATTGTCATCCGCGTAATGGTGAAATGCCCGGATCACTTCTACTCAGCTTACACAACGACACAAAAATCCCTCCGATCGAACCACCCCTGCGCCCAGCGTTTGCTACGAAATATTTGTCACACTTTGAAATTCATAACATCTTGTTACATTCTACATATTTTCTTTACACCTAGCGTTACATTACCGCTTTCTTAAATATTTCCAATGTACATGTGGTACATGTTTATAAATTAATTACTCATTAAATATTTAGGTACTTACTTCACCTTATTTTTACTTTCAGTGGAGAAATATATCTTAACCTTCAAATGTGATAATAAAGAAATAAAATGTACATGATATCAGCTGACTTATATTATTAGTAATGCAAACAATTTACAAGTGTTGTTTTATATAAGAAAAATGAGTTGCAAGGTAAATAAAGATGACTAAAAATTTTATGTTGATATTAAAAGTACACTATTATCACATCACTGCTAAACAATAATAATATTAATAACATTGAAGCTCACTTGTAAGAAAAGTTGTTGTTATCAATCCGTGCCTACAAACCCATAAGAACACTTAATCACGAACGCTTATTCTTTAATTAATTCAAACAATAGTTATTTACATCGCAAAGGAGATAAGTATTATTTATCAGTCGAGGACGATTTTGCGCCCGAGCGGAGCGAGAGTTGGCAATAGAGTCCGAGACTGGAAAACTGCTGCGTGGTGTATAACATTGTATCTGCTCCCACAGCTCTTTATGGTTCATGAAATAAAGAATAGGTTTTATTTTTTGACATTTCTTGGTCAATCATTTTGACATTATTCGAAGTCTTGCAAAGTCGCCTTGGTTGTTTGGATTTTGTCGTTTCTCAGGTGTTTTATAAACAAAGCTACATAAAAGTTGAAATTTTGCTGGTTTTGAATTATTATTTCTAAATAAGTGATTTTCAAATAGAATTTTGAATGCCCGAGAAGTCGCAAGTGCCCAATGGCATATAAAAATTTCAAAGAATGGTGCCAGAACAAAAATATTGGTGTTTCATAAATGTCACTGCTAGCATAAAACTGACATTTCACACTTTTTTATACGCTATCAAGCAGGTAGGCTACAACCAACCAGTCGGCAAGAATACCCTTTTTATGATTCCTAATAAGATTGCACAGTTTTTGAAACTAGAACATACTGAAACATATACAGGCCATTAATTCCGAAGAACATCGGCAACGTTACTGGCTAATACAGGAGTTGATGTGTTAGCAATCAAGTGACATGGTGGGTGGAAATCACCCACAATTGCAGAAAGTTATGTTGCTGACAGTTTAAGTAACAAAAGTGAAATAGCCAACAGGATTCTTTACAATAACACTTCAACTCCAGATTCTAGTAGTACGTCGCATCATGCTGTTTCAATGGATCAATCAGATAATATTGAAACTTCGGTGACTGAAATGGAGCGGTCAAATCATTTTGAGAAAAATGTGACAATTAGTAAACGCGAGGGGCATAATTATCCATATTTTTATAAATGTTACTAAATGTAATAACTGTACAGTTACCATAAATATTCATTCATAATAATTAATAAAATGTAATGTTCATCAAATATTTCTATTTATTTGTTCATAAAATATGCATTTATAACTCGAAATAACTTTTTTCCGTAGGGAACTTACCTCCTTAAAAACAATGTATTAATAGTCTATTTACTATAATGGGAGCAGATAAAACATTACAGTCTATATAACATACAACAATAACAGTTAATAATGCCACATTGGAATAAACATATTCTACATTAGCGTCTGCATTTTACTGCCATATTAAATTGCACTTCCTTGGCGATGTTTTAAAATAATTAAAACATGTTCTGTTCTCTAAACCCTTCATAGTAATATTTGGGACACCCTGTACATGTGGATAGATGGATTAAAAAATATGTATTTGTTTTATAAAATAATCATATTTTCAAGTGCACATATTTTAAAATAAAGAAAATATACAGTTTTTAAATACATATATTATATATCAATTTGAGTAAGTTTGCTATATCCCATTTGGATAGTCTAAAGGTGACATCAAAAATATTCAAATTTTAGACTTTTTCAACGTTTAACCAAATTCCACCCTCAGCGGTAGTGATGAAAGCCGTAGGAGATAACATTAGAGGCACCTGAGTTTCCTTGTTCAAAGTTACCCTAAAATTTCTTAGGATTGAGGTTAGGCCCACTTTAGTTTGCATGATGCCGAATCTTTCACCTGAAACAAAACCAATTTATGATATATTTCCTAATCCTGTCTTCTCATAATCGAAACTGTAGAATTTCAAAAGTGAAGTGAAAAATCTCCCATACTCACCAATGCACACTCTAGGCCCTTCCCCGAAGGGAATGTGAGCGTAAGGATGTCTGGTCCTCTTATTTTCCTCTGTGAACCTCTCCGGATCGAATTTGTTGGGATTATCGTAATATTCTTTATCATAGTGGTATCCCACGATCGGAATGAATATCAGAGTGCCTTTTTCAATCACCAGATCTTCCCCAGGTACCTTATAGTCCTCCACGCATTCTCTGTTTACGAACGAAAGTGGTGGGTACATCCTCAGTGCCTCTAGAATGAAGTTAATATTGGGGAAAAATGCCTTGGATGACCGATGATTATTATTTAACAAAGGGGAAATATTTATGTAAAACCAAAGAGCACTTAAGGTATCACCTTCAAATATTCCTCGTCTATCATATAGATTAAAACAAAAGATTAACAAAATATTAACAAAAGCTTTGACTTACCGTCAATAACTTGTCTCATGTACGTCAACTCGCTAAGTGAATCGTACGTGATTTTGTTGTCATGCTTGGCTAGGACCGTACGGATTTCTTCTCGGACTTTGTCTTGGATGTCCTGATGAGTGGCCAGTTCGTACAAGACAAAGGTGGCGGTGGTGGAACTGGTTTCAAAACCTGCTATGAAGAAGACGAAGCACTGTGCTGCTAGTTCGTCCATATTCAGGGTTTTACCGTCACCTAGAATTAAAAACAAAATTAAAACAAATAGATTGGGTTCTTCTGCAGAACTTCGACCATTACTGCGTTTGCTAACAGAAATGTTGAACAAACTATCGCAGGCAAGCGCACCTAAGATTGAGAAGACGAAGGATTATTATTTGGCAACGAGCTCTATCTGTTATAACTACGAAATCTATTCAAGTAAGTTATTAATCTCCAAGAATTAAAGAGAAAATAGCAGAAAGGACAGATATGCTGTTAGTATGGGGTAACAAAGTATTTTAATAATCGTTAATAAATTATACTTATAGGAAAATGTAACTTGAATACCGGTTCAGCATTTAGCCATTATAGACCAGGCGGGATCTGTTACAAAACACCCGTGTATGGATGTTTTATACAGGGTGTTAAAAAAAGAGTGTAAAATATTTCAGGAGGTAACAGTATGAACCAAAATAAAGAGAAAAGTCTTAATAAACATGGGTCCGCAAAGTAACGGTTGCGGAGATATGGACCACTATTCGTTTTTCAAACATTTTATTTTATTAGGAATAAACCGACAAAGGAAGCTTTTAACAAACAAAAAACAAAGTTACAGAAGATGTTCAAAGTGCCCTCCGTCCATTTCCAAGCAGGCACGACATCTTCGTCTCAACGATATTCGAACTCTTTCGAAAACACCCTCCTTGGTTTGGATTTCTTGACACTTTTGATTAATCCGTAGCTGCAGCTCTTCCAGGCTATTTACAGGAGTACCATACACTAATGTCTTCAAATATCCCCAAACAAAGAAATCTAGAGGGTTCAGATCAGGCGATCTTGGAGGCCATAAAACAGGTCCGGCCCTTCCTACCCATCTATGTGGAAAAGTTTGGTGTAAATGCTCTCTAACGGCCATGGAAAAATGAGCTGGAGCACCATCATGCTGGAACCACATTTGTTGCCTCTGATTCAAAGGAATGTCTTCCAAAAACTCATACAGTGTGTTCTGCAGAAAGTTGAGGTAAGCAGCGCCTGTTAATCGGTTTGGTAAAACAACAGGACCTAGAAACCTGTCACCTACAATACCCATCCAAATGTTTAATAAAAAACGTGCCTGATGTCCAGATTCTATTAGAGTCGCGTAGTTTCGAGAAAAGCCGTTATCATATTGGACGATGTGTCCTTCAACCACGAAATGGAGTGCTACTGATTGCAAATACTGCAGACTTTGCACTTAATTTGAAAGCTGGTCAAGTTCTAGTTCGAGCTGATGAATGTGTTGCCGAAAAACAAGTAGATGACGATAATGAGGTAAGCGTTTGTAATGTTAAAATGCAATCCAATTATAAACAATTTCAGGAAAATGAATTGAACGTAGATGTACAGGTGCCACGCGAAATTAAATTGAAATTATTGCAACTTGTCAATAAATATAGAAAGACTTTCTCTGAAAATCTTGCGGAATTGGGGACCACCCATTTAACCAAATTGAAAATTCACTTAAACGATGATCGACCCGTTACGTATAGACCTTATAGGCTACCACATAGTCAAAGAGAAAAAGTTAAAACGATGATACAAAATTTAAAAAGTAACGGTATTATACGTGATTCAATGTCACCGTACGCCAGTCCAATTCTTATAGTTCGTAAAAAAACGGGAGATGATAGGTTATGTATAGATTATCGAGCATTAAATGCTAAGACCCTGAAAGATAAATATCCAATGCCAATAATTGAAGATCAGTTAGATAAGCTTAGTGGAAGCAAGGTATTTACCAGTTTAGACATGGCCTCGGGTTATTATCAAATTCCGGTAGCTGAAGAATCAGTCCATATAACAGCTTTCGTTACACCGGATGGACAATATGAGTTCTTAAAAATGCCCTTCGGGTTGGTAAACGCTCCTGCCCTTTTTCAGAGACTAGTTAATAATGTCTTGGGGTCCTTGCTTGGAACGGTGGCACTCGCATACTTAGACGACATACTGATTCCTACATCAGATTACGAAAATGGATTAAAATCATTAGAACAAGTATTAATAGCTTTGCAAAATGCAGGTCTAACCCTTCGTTTAAAGAAATGCTATTTTTTCAAATCATCAATAGATTATTTGGGGCACGAAATTTCCTGGTAAAACAAAGATCTTAGCGGTACAAAATTTTCCATGTCCTAAAAATATACGCGAGGTGCGCCAGTTTCTTGGTCTTACTAGTTATTTCCGCAAATTTATTAAAAACTTCGCCATCATTGCGCGACCACTTACTTTGTTAACACGAAAAGAAACACTATTTACGTGGACAGAGGAACAAACGCGAGCATTTAATGAATTAAAACAAAAATTAACACAACGACCTATCTTAGCATTATATAACCGATATGCTGAAACAAAATTACACACAGATGCTTGTAAGTTTGGGTTAGGCGGAATATTGTTGCAGCGGCAAAGTAATAAGTGCTTTCAGCCGGTGTCATATTTCAGTCGACAAACCTCTAAAGAGGAACAGATTTATCACTCATATGAATTGGAAACATTAGCCATCGTAAATTCTTTACAACGGTTCCGGGTATATTTATTAGGGATCCCGTTTAAGATCGTCACCGACTGCAATGCCCTTCGGGCAACTTTTATTAAACGCGATTTACTACCTAGAGTAGGGCGTTGGTGGTTGTTGTTACAAGAATATCAATTTATTGTAGAGTATCGCGCTGGAAGTAAAATGACACATGTCGATGCGTTGAGTCGTAATCCTATAGCATATATAAATGATTTCACAGAAATAGACGTAATGCAAACAAATATATGTGACGATGATTGGATATTAGTGGCCCAATTACAGGACGACAGAATAAAATATTTGCGCGACGTGCTACTGAGAAAACCACGCGATAAAGAAGAAAACAATATTCACGAACAATATGAATTAAACAACGAACGCGTGTACAAACGCACAGAGAACGGGGTGAGATGGGTGGTACCTAAGTCTGCCAGACGGCAATTGGTTATGCGATATCACGATGAGAAGGGACATTTTGCCGAAAACAAAACTCTTTCTGGACCGGTGCAACATTATTGGTTCCCATCCATGAAAGAATATGTTAAAAGATATATAAAGACATGTTTAGGATGTTTGTACAATAAACAACCGTCAGGTAAACGCCCTGGATATTTGCATCCCATTGATAAAGTATCAAAACCTATGCACACTATCCATTTAGATCATCTAGGGCCATTTGTTAAAAGTAAATGTAAAAATTCTTACCTTATTGTAGCAATTGAAGCTTTTACAAAATTTGTATTTGCAAAACCCGTACGGAACACAAAAAGTATACCGGTTGAATTTTTTATTGAAAGTCAAATTATCTCTATTTTTGGAGTCCCAAAACGTTTCATTACCGACAGAGGCACCGCTTTTACAAGTAAACGATTTATACAGTTTTGCCACAAATACAACATTAAATTAGTGCATAATGCAACCGCGACACCTAGAGCCAACGGCCAGGTGGAGCGATTTAATCGTACTATTCTGACAGCTCTTAGTGCCATCACTGACGTAGATGATGGGTGGGACAAAAATGTAGAGAAAATATGTTGGGGTTTAAATAACACGGTTAACAAATCCACTGGGGAAACGCCCTTCTATATGATGTTTGGCTACGTGCCTAGAAGTAGAAATGACGCATTTCTTACTTCTATAGTGGATGTCGATGTTGATGATAACAATGTGTTACAGACAACAAATATGTGGTCCTCTAACCAGGAGGATGAAACTCCGGATGATCAAAACGTTAAAGGAGTGCACTCTACCATACGAAATACGAATGAAGAAAGTCTTCAAAACGAATGTATACTTGCAAGTAACGTTGTATGTACTTTAGCAGGTAGCGTAAAGGACGCTACCGTCGACGAAGTACATACTGAGGGAGAACGTCTTCCTACGAAAAGAAATGTCATAATGGGGCCCCACGGGAAATGTTCCCAACGCATCGAACAATTAAAACAAATACGTGAACGAGCGTCGCAACGTATACGACGCCAGCAAAAGATGGATAAAGAAAGATATGATCGCAAACGTGCGAAACCAAAAACATATTCTATAGGAGACTATGTAGTCGTTCGACGTGAACGTACTAGTAACGATGGAGCTAGTCGTAAGCTTCTTCCTAAATATGATGGTCCGTTTGTGATCACCAAGCTGTTAAACCATGATCGAATAGTGGTCATGGACTTAAAAGGAAATTTTCGAGGAGGGCGAGGTATTTATGTAGGTGTATATCCATCAGAAAAGCTGAAACCCTTTATCGTAGGTACTTCAAGTACCGACGATACCGATGGCTTTTCAGACGTAGAGTGAACCACTCTATTAGTTTAATAACGTCTATTCTGTATGTGTTTAAATTTAAGTTGGAATCATGTGGAACTTCTAGTTTGTAATATTATATGTTTTATTTTATTTTCTTTGGTGTATTAATGTGCAACATATATTAGAATATTGATTACACAAAAACAAGAGAACTCTTTCTTTTATTTCTCGGGACGAGAAACTAGTCAGGTTGGCCGAACTGTTAGCACCCTGTATACTCACTGAGACGTCTACTAGATGACGGACGAGTGTTTATGCAGGTGGGTGTCCAATGATGCCACTCTGATATGTGTTGCCATATAGTTGTAAGTTGAAAGCGATGTTTATATTTATATATTATGTAGGAAAAAGGGAGAAGGAACAGGCAGTCTGTAGAATGATTGTAAAGAGAGCAGACGTTTAATATTCAATAAATATTGTTTACAGTTTTATTTATATGTTCGTTTATTAATCAACCCCAAGGCATTATAGTATGAGGATTTTCGTCGGCCCAAATATGCGTATTGTGAAAATTAAACACTTCATTTCTTGTGAACCCGGCCTTATCAGTAAAAAGAATGTTTGCAAGAAAACGAGGGTCTTCAGCATCATGACGTAGAAATCAGCGGCAAAAAACCAAACGTGCTTGATGATCATTTATTGGATTTAAGGCCTGTACTCGTTGCACTTGGTATGGATAAAGCAGTTGCTCGTGAAGGATTTTCCAAACAAGAGGACCACTAGTTCCTACCTCGGAAGATATTCTCCGCACACTCGTACCTGGATTCTGCTCTACCAGTGCTAGACTTTCTTCTTCTGCTCTAGGAGTGGATACCGACCTTGGTCTTCCGGATAAATGGCACTGTTTGCTCAAGGAACCGGTATCACGCAATCTTTGGTGAATTCTTCCAAACATGCGTTGTGAAGGAATCTGGCGATTTGGATAAGCGTCAACATAAAGACGTCGCGCTTCGGTGGCGTTCCCATTAGCACGACCATACATGAAATGCATGTCTGTTAATTCTGCGTTAGAGTAACCAGCTACAGCGAAAGAAAACTTGTGCACTGAGAACAACTGTCAAATACGTACTGTTTATTTCACTAAACATCAACCAACTATTATAAGAAAATACACAACGTTTTTGCAAAATAAAAGAGGGGCTAAAAAACATAAAACAATCCATATCTCCGCAACCGTTACTTTGCGGACCCATGTTTATTGTGACTTTTCTGCTTATTTTGGTTCATACTATTACCTCCTTAAATATTTTACACTCTTTTTTTAACACCCTGTATAGTATCATAACTAATTTAACTTTTAAACCTTTAAACACAATTTTTTGGTAATGTGTAACACAAATTATAGTTGCTCAAGCTTTCTTTATAAATGAGTCAACTGTGTTACAATTCTGTATTTCTGTATAAAGTGGAAAATAAAATTCTACCAATACAAAACAGTGCATAGAAAATGAACTCACCTTTATACCCGCCCTCCTGACCTTCCTTGTTATTTTTTATGTCTATAAGCAGCTGCAAGACATCGTTCCTTCTAACGTTGTTCTTTTCCCTGTAGGCAACTGCATCCTCGACGACTTTCATGAAGAAGTCCGAAATGTCCTTATCGACCGATCGAATTTTTAGGAACCTTCCAAGCGCAGGAAAGTTGGACGCAATCGCAAATTCAAGGATTTTCCATTTGGTAAGATTGAAAACTTTCTGCCCGTACACCCGGAAAGGCGAATTCGGTTCCTTGAAGCTGTTGCACTCCAAACCAAAAGCACAGGAACCGATGATGTCAGTGGTGAAGCGGCCTGAAACAAAAACAGTCGATATTTCTAAGTAAAATAACAAACTGTCAATACTATTTCTGAGAAGTTTTGTTTAATTAGATAATATTATTTAGATCGTTTCGCCTTCATTGATCCAATCACAAATGGACATAACGACGGTTTATTTGTGAAATATTGAAGGAAATAAAACTGTTTGCTCATCTCTTGATGATCCAAGACACAATTTAATTGTTGTCTTTATTTTCTTAGTTAAAGTCATATCTAGACATGGCTTCATATCCTTCTAAAGCGACTTGGTCCTATTTATGCAAATAGCACATGCTTTTTGAAAAAGGGATTTTAATTTTAAGATGTTTAAGATTGCTGATGTGATTGCTTTTTTTCCCTTCGAAAAATAGAAGGGTTGTTTGACATTAAACGAAGCTATGCCAATAGCTGGTTCTAGTCCAATAAAGTTCAAGTAGCATTCACCTCATTCCTCTGGAAACTATGTATCCAGACCAAAATCACTCTGTTGTCACTTCCTAAACATAGCTTCCCGGCAATTCCATACCGTTCTTGAAAAAATAAGTGCGTACTAGGTACCAACAGTCTGGCCTTTGAATTGCAAATATACAACTACCTACCTTCAATACGTTCGTTCTCTTCCAATCCAATTATTTACTTCCCGAGTCAGCTTCCGGCACATTAATAGCCGCTTGCTTTAATCCAATAATAATGAAGATATGGTAAGTCCAGAAACTTCGCGTTTTTGGTATCGACTCCACAAAGAACCTTAAGAGTTCTGGAACCCCTCGTAATCCCACAGAAACTCCTCCAAGATTCAGTTTTTATTTATCCAATTACTTTGCCCATGACAACAGATCTATATTGATCCCAGCTTGATTGAAGAAGTGCCGAACATCTACTCTAATTTTTTACTCTGTGCGTATAGTTCAAACCTCTACTACCATTACTACTTTGTGTCTATATAACTCGTCCTTACCAAATACGTCTTTAATGTCCACAGATTCCTCTTTCTCGAAAGTTTCTTGAAAGAACTTCTCAAGGATAACTCCACAGTCCGCCAAAGTCTGGAACATAGCCTTCAGCTTGCCGGAAGTAAAGGTGGGGGTAACTTTGACCCTCAGATTCCTCCATTTCTTACCTCCAATTGCGAAGAGATGACTTCCTGCAATGTACATAAATTGAATTTTATAAGCAAAAAAGATGTTTCTAGATTCTGTACCTAATGGGTCGTCTCTATCATTTACATACTGTCCTCTGTCCACAAAATGGTTGAAATCCTTCGTCATCACATGTTTCGCCAATTCCAGATCAACTATTAAGACTGCAGGTCTAGCAGTGTCATATACACCACACGATCTCCAACCTAAAAAAATTACTAAATGTACAAAAATTTACACTTTTCACAACCTCCAGAGACATTACAGAGAGAACTCATTATAACTGAAACCCCTAAATTCCGAACGTATGTTCAGAAGGTTTTTTCGTATTAACCTAAATTTAGATACAAAGCAACAATGACATTCGAATTGCGGTGCTACAATAACAGTTGTCAAAACAAACCAAACCACAATTTTTACTACTTTATTTGATAAAACAATTTTCTGTGTCTGTGCATGGAAATTGTAAGGTGCTGTTCATTTTGCATAGTGTTCCGATAATATGTCTTGTTGTTAAAAGCGCCTATTTCTATCGTGTACAAAGATAGGACTGAGATTGCATGTTCTGACATCTTGAAATTCCGCCTTGTCACAGTTGTCAGCTGTCAAATGAGAAAGGGAAATAAGTGAAAGGCATACAGTTCCTAAGGTTTGACAAAATTTAAACGCCAACAGAAGACAATGTGAAAACATATTGAATATGAAGATACAATGTTAGAGGTATAACTGAGCAGCTGAACAAATAGAAAAATATAAACACATGAAATACGTATGTAGTAGAGTGTGTATATCTTTGAAGGACTATGACGCTAACATTGCCTATTTTGCGATTACATAGTACATAGCGTGGTAGAATTACTTGATACAGATTTTAGTACAAAAATGTACCTGTCCTAACTGTTGGACACTGTATCATGTGAGAGCCAATTTGTAAGAATAATATAGTTTTTACCCAATCTATGCACAGTTCTATATTTATTTTTGGAACCTTCTAAAATGGTACGCCCATGGAAGCCCGCATCTACAAGTCGAAGTATGGCAACATTGACATGTACTAAATAATTTGTTAGTTTCATGAAGCTTATGTTAGATTAAATATACCTTTTGCTCGGGCAGTGTCGTACATTTCTCGTAGAATCTCGCACAACGATTTCCTGGTACTCAAGGGGTTAGGAAAACTGCCAAAGGGGATGGATGGTTCTATGTAAGGTAAATTTTTTCTGCTCCAGTATTGGAAAGACCATTTAAAGTAGGCGAAGGTTATTACTACGATTGCGGTGATTACGCCCAAGATATCCAACAAGAGACTTCCTAAGAAAATCGCCATTTTTCCTGTATAAAGAAATATAATATAAAAGAATCTATAACAGATCTTTTTTCTTAAAAATTACATTACCAATAAAAACACTAATCGGATTTGTAAAATACTCATTGGCGTCGAAGTTTTGAGGTTCCTAGTGGCACTGACTCCTTGTACCACTGCTACTGATTATCGTAATTCAACTTAGAGAATTTATATGTACTTCAACTTAGGCAAATCAGTGGTCCAAGTTTTATCAGTCTGCATCGAATATCCCCAGAGATATTTCGGAAAACGTGATAATTTTTACTAATTTACCTATACTATACTATACTATATACTATATTTACCTACCTTTGAAGGAAAGGAACCCTATAACTTTAACTGGGAGTCAGTATTTTAGAGGTACGTGTTTCCCTGAATACGAATCTAAAATTCTTTTTTTTTAATCAAATAGCTTTCTAAACTGCACTTATTAAATTAGCTTGGTAAGTCGTATCAGCGCACTATCAAGCCTGACAGTTGTTAACTTTTTAAATGAATTGTTAGAGAACAATCATAGATAATAAAGGTCCAGAAGGTCATGGAAAAACATTTTTTTTTAATTCGTGAAAAAAGTCAACCCCTTTCCTTAAAAGTAATTTTCTTAAAATAAAAATTGAAGTAGTTATTTACACATACCCACAAAGGGTGCAATTTTTTCAAAATCATTTTTTGATCCATAAAATTAATGAAATCGTCAAAATTTTTTAATAGCATTGTAATACAACTCTTTACAAAGAAAATAAACTGAAAATCGTTACTGTAGGGCAATCCGCTGAGAAGATCTAGCCAATTTTCTAGAACGCCCTTTTTTAAAAGAAATCGATATATCTCGAAAAATAATTAATATTTTTTTATTTTTCAAAAATGTACTTTTTTGGCTTGCCGCGCGCTATGCTTACAGTAAATAGCAAGTAAAGGAACGTAAATGTAAATGAGTTATAGAAGAAAAGAAAACAGAAGATTTTTAACGGTTTTTTCGATATATCTCGAAAAGTAACAAAGCAATCGATCCTTGTAAAAAGTCAGTTTAACCATGTTCGCCATTTTGGATCGAGTTTAAAGAACGAGAAACTCAATTTAAAATTGAATTTCCTATATGGCCGTATTTTTTTTTTTTTTTCAGGTAATAATTTCTGCAAATTTAACATTAGACAAATATTGGTATGTATGAAAATTTGGGCAATAGTGTTTTTGGGCATGCCCTCCTCAATTAAGATAATGGCGTCCACCTAACGCTTCCGGTTATACCGGAAGTTGACGTCATCTTCGTTATTTTAAATGGAACACTCTGTATATTATTGCAATTTGGATTCTACGTCAATTTAGCTGAACTTTCATAAAGGTTTTTCCTATTCTTAAAGTTAACCGTTTTTGATATATTTAACTTTAAAAAAAAAAAAAATTGAAAAAGCACTGCCTGAAGATAGGTATAGGACATTGTACAAGATATATGTCTAGAATTTTCTGAAAAATCCAAAAATTGAATAATATACAGAATGTTGCATTTAAGAAACTTGGTATCGAGTGATACACGACACACCCTGTATAAAAAGTTTTTGTTGAAAAAAATGCGCAACTAAAAATACCAATCAAATGTGTCTTCCATTTGGCTGATACACACTGTATATCAAAACAGGAAGTGATTATACTTAACAAAATTGTATTAAAGATTTTAAATACCATTTGTTGGTAATATGTGACACAAGTTATAGCTAGTCGTATGTTCTAGATAAATTATAGTCAACAATGTTATAATTGACAAAANTCAAATAGCTTTCTAAACTGCACTTATTAAATTAGCTTGGTAAGTCGTATCAGCGCACTATCAAGCCTGACAGTTGTTAACTTTTTAAATGAATTGTTATAGTTAATTAATAATTGTTAGTTATAGAATTGTTGTAATAGTTTTTTGATTATGAAAAATCGTTTTTTGCAAATTTGTGATTTTTTTTAGCCATGTTTACCATTTTGGATCAAGTTTAAAGAACGAGAAACTCAATTTAAAATTGAATTTCCTATATGGCCGTATTTTTTTTTTCAGGTAATAATTTCTGCAAATTTAACATTAGACAAATATTGGTATGTATGAAAATTTGGGCAATAGTGTTTTTGGGCATTCCCTCCTCAATTAAGATAATGACGTCCACCTAACGCTTCCGGTTATACCGGAAGTTGACGTAATCTTCGTTATTTTAAATGGAACACTCTGTATATTATTGCAATTTGGACTCTACGTCAATTTTCAGGTGAACTTTCATAAAGGTTTTTCCTATTCTTAAAGTTAACCGTTTTTGATATATTTAATTTTTTCTCAAAAAAAATTGAAAAAGCACTGCCTGAAGATAGGTATAGGACATTGTACATGATATATGTCTAGAATTTTTTGAAAAACCCAAAAATTGAATAATATACAGGGTGTTGCATTTAAGAAAGTTGGTATTGACCACTGATACACGACACACCCTGTATAAAAAGTTTTTGTTGAAAAAAATGCGCAACTAAAAATACCAATCAATGTGTCTGAGCGTTTTTTCGAACACGCCCCCATTTATTTATTATTGAATTTATTCCATTCGGCTGATACACACTGTATATCAAAACAGGAAGTGATTATACTTAACAAAATTGTATTAAAGATTTTAAATACCATTTGTTGGTAATATGTGACACAAGTTATAGCTAGTCGTAAGTAGTATGTTCTAGATAAATTATAGTCAACAATGTTACAATTGACAAAACTTTTAATATAATTTTTTTTCTGTAAATAATCTTAATGTCGTCATTTAAAATAATTTGATAACAAGACGAAGTATAGGCTATGGCAACTCCACTTAATCTTGATAGCATTAAAACAAAAATCGTAAATATAATTGTGAATATAATTAATATTACATACTTTTACACTTACCTTACCAGATATGTATTTGTAAAAACACACATTCAATGGAGAATTAGCATCTAGTAGCAACTGACGGTAATAAACATCGCGCAAGGACAAGAAGCACAATATGTTGATGAAATTACGACATTCGTGATGAATATCTGTTAATCTTAACATTATGATAAGCTATATTTATCTAATTTAAAATTAAATTTATATGAACTTTCAGAATAAAGATCTGTCACGAAAACAGCAAATAAACAATAAATCATAATAGAATTGTAAATTACGTCGGACTAATTAAAAACAAATACTGACAGCCTGGTTCTTAATAAAGCAGGCAGGTCAGTTTCCGTGTTACAGGGTGATAAATTATAGGAAAAAAAATTGATTTATGTCTATGTAACAAAACAAGATAATTTATTGAGTGGACTAGTTTACGGTTTGTTGCATTTCTTACAATTGTTACATTTCTTGAACTAAATTTTTAAAAATTCCCAAACAAGATAGAAATTCTTGGAAATGGAGCATTTTATCGAAAGAAATAAAGGGTCCCTTTTTTGTAGAGGAAATGAAGGTCTATCATATGTTGACATCTGAATTTGAAAATTTCTACAAGCAAAACAATGGGGGCAAATATTAGCCGATGACCCCCCCCCCCCATTAAGACGGCCCTGATCAAAATATTTGAAAAATTTTATGATGATCTATTTCGACTTTTAATGAGCGTTCATGGTGGCAAAAATTCATAATTTTCCTTCGACCCATTTCGGAAATATTAAAAAAAAAATAATTTTTTCAGGCCCCATTTTGGGGGGCGTAGCTCCCTTAGGAAGCAATCGATCAATGTTTATATAAAAAATTTTTTTTGCAATATAATCAAGCGGTAAATGATTAGATACTAATTATGAGACACCCTGTATATTTCTTATACAGGGTGTCCGAAAATTACGTGTACAACGAAAGATCACAGACTCCTTGATTCAAAATAAGTAGATTAAGCCCAATTTACCTATTTCCAAAATTGCTCCGTTTAGCCGCTAGAGGACGCCAAAATCCGATAAAAATTTTTGTTTATTCTGAATATCTCGAAAACGACTTTATCGATTTTGACCATTTCTGGGTTACATAGTAAGGTCTTTAATTAACGTCTTTTAACGTTATTTAGAATCATTTTCAATCCCTAGAAATATAAAAAAAACAGATATCGTACAAATATAACCACATATTTTTTTATTCCCCTGTACAGTAACTCCCAATTTCTTTCATCACTAGCTGACTTTGTTTAGAGACTTTCTTCACTCTAGCAAAACTTTGATCAGATGAGTAGTTTAGGCAGAAAAAATTAATTTTCGTGAGTCTGCATCATAATTCATTACGCAACAAATAACGAAGTTGACTGTGTTATGTTGAGGACACTCTGTATGTATATGCGATCCAGTTTCCAGCAAAATTTCAAGTTATCATCACGAAAACTAAATGAGATATCAACAATCCAAGAACGTGTGGCTATAGAAGAGGTTATGCGCAACGCAATGCTGCCACCGCATATCACTGAATGTTTCCATTAGCACGTAATTCGAAAAGTTCGGTTATTTTCGGAGCAGATCTCGTAAAAAGTATATCAGGAGACAATTTAGGACCATTCTGTATAAGGAGGAAAATATAATGAATTAATTCAGTTTTTATTAGAGATTTATTATATTTCACGGTATATTTTAAGAAATAACTTAAAAGTTTGTGGTTATTTTTTATTTAGTTAAACAAGATTAAAGTTAGAAAATCAGTGCTCTAGACCCTAGACAAACTCTCCAACTGGTTTGATAGTAAGCTCAGCTACCTGGAAAGAAACAAACTTTATGTAAATTTCCGTGAAATTTCTGTAAAATACTACAAAGCTAAACATTTGTAAATATTAATTACATAACTAGATTTATTTAAAAATACTTTGCATTATACTCGTTTTAAGAAGGATGTCTACTAGACTGGCCCAAAAAAAATAGACTATTTTTTTTGNATTTCTTATACAGGGTGTCCGAAAATTACGTGTACAACGAAAGATCACAGACTCCTTGATTCAATATAAGTAGATTAAGCCCAATTTACCTATTTCCAAAATTGCTCCGTTTAGCCGCTAGAGGACGCCAAAATCCGATAAAAATTTTTGTTTATTCTGAATATCTCGAAAACGACTTTATCGATTTTGACTATTTTTGGGTTACATAGTAAGGTCTTTAATTAACGTGTTTTAACGTTATTTATAATCATTTTCAATCCCTAGAAATATAAAAAAACAGATACCGTACAAATATAACCACATATTTTTTTATTCCCCTGTACAATAACTCCCAATTTCTTTCATCACTAGCTGACTTTGTTTGGAAACTTTCTTCAATCTAGCAAAACTTTGATCAGATGAGTAGTTTAGGCAGAAAAAATTAATTTTCGTGAGTCTGCATGATAATTCATTGTGCAACAAATAACGAAGTTGACAAAATTTCAAGTTATCATCACGAAAACTAAATGAGATATCAACAATCCAAAAACGTGTGGCTATAGAGGTTATGCGCACCGCAATGCTGCCACCGCATATCACTGAATGTTTCCATTAGCACGTAATTCGAAAAGTTCGATTATTTTCGGAGCAGATCTCGTAAAAAGTATATCAGGAGACAATTTAGGACCATTCTGTATAAAGAGGAAAATAGAATGAATTAATTCATTTTTTATTAGAGATTTATTATATTTCACGGTATATTTTAAGAAATAACTTTAAATAAATAAAGTTGTGGTTATTTTTTATTTAGTTAAACAAGATTAAAGTTAGAAAATCAGTGCTCTAGACCCTAGACAAACTCTCCAACTGGTTTGATAGTAAGCTCAGCTACCTGGAAAGAAACAAACTTTATGTAAATTTCCGTGAAATTTCTGTAAAATACTACAAAGCTAAACATTTGTAAATATTAATTACATAACTAGATTTATTTAAAAATACTTTGCATTGCATTGCATACTAGACTGGCCCAAAAAAAATCGACTATTTTTTTTGAAAGATATATCGAGAATATTATTCAGAATGACGAAAAAAAAATATGGTGAGAGTTTGAGCCCCTAATATTAGTTTTAAGAGGTCTTCTATCATCGTTAGTTTCGATGTTTTATTCTTGATCCCATTTTTCCGTCAAAACTGCCAAACCATCGAGGTAAAAAATGTTATCTAATAATAATGAACAAATTAATATCTGAAAAAAAAACAATACAGATTTTTAAAGGAAATTTAATGCTTTATAAAAAGGTCTGTTAACATTTTTGCATAAATTTACTCCTGCAAAAATTATTCACGAATGAAGTTGAAGTAAAAATTAAATTTTTGTTTTTTTTTGTTTTGGACCCACTTTTTTCAGTCAATGGAACAAATTGGTATAATACATCATCGACAATTATTATTCTATCAATATAATCACCAAAAATATCCAAAATTCATAAAATAATTTAAAAAATAACAATTAGGTAGGTATGTAGTTTTATTATTTAAAATTATTTATTTACAATATTGTATACATTTATATGAATGAAAACTGAGATTATGGCTCATAAAAATATTCAAAGTCACTTTCACTCAGTCGGCGTTCGTAATAGACGTTGCGGTTATTAAGGAGAAGGGGGATAGTCCAAACGGTATCTGTTTCAAAAAGCCATATTTGGGTGAATCGTATATCCACGGAGATTTTTGGCTTTTTGGCAAGAGTCGATTTTAGGCGAAAATGGAAGAGGAAACAAATGTTTGTAATTAATTTTTTTACAAAACACGACTAGTTACAAATCTAATGAATCATGATTATTATGGTAAAAATCGAAAAAATCGCAAAAATGGGGTTAAAAAACAATACTTTTTAGGGAATTTTTTCGTGGTATTTAAATTGGGTATAGGACCTTTATACTTGGCTCAAGAAAACTTCATGTTATGTAGAATCATCACACCAAATGTCATCAAAATCGCTTATATAGATTTTGCATAATAATTTTGCAATCCAGATTTTGAAAAANTGTAAATTTCCGTGAAATTTCTGTAAAATACTACAAAGCTAAACATTTGTAAATATTAATTACATAACTAGATTTATTTAAAAATACTTTGCATTATACTCGTTTTAAGAAGGATGTCTACTAGACTGGCCCAAAAAAAATAGACTATTTTTTTTGAAAGATATATCGAGAATATTATTCAGAATGACAAAAAAAAATATGGTGAGAGTTTGAGCCCTTAATATTATTTTTAAGAGGTCTATCATCGCTAGTTTCGATGTTTTATTGTTGATCCCATTTTTGCGTCAAAACTGCCAAACCATCGAGGTAAAAAAATTTATCTACATATATTTTTGAAGGAAATCGAATGCCACACAAAAATTTTCGACAGTCCAGCCATTTCCATGTAATCAAGCCTTGAAAATTGATGTTTTTTCGATTTGTCTTGGAATTTTATAAATAATGAACAAATTAATATCTTAAAAAGAACAATACAGATTCTCAAAAGAAATTTAATGCTCTATAAAAAAGGTCTCTGAATATTTTTGTATACACTGAAAGAAATGAAGCTTATTAAACTGTTTATCTAGAATAATGTATATAGCACATATTAAAACTTTTATAACAAATATACAACTTTTATTTAAAAAAAGCAATCACCTCCATACTCATTATTCAATGATTTTAACTGGAAGGTGCTTAATACACCTTATGCATCTATGAAATAATGGTTATAATGAATTACTTATACATTATTATGTGTTATAGAAATAAGATCTGTTCCAACAAGAGTCAGGGATTGGTTCCGAACCGTCAGAAATGTGCATCCAACTAATTCTTGCGATATATTCATTGAAGACACATTTAAAACTTAGCTGGCCAAACATTTCAAACGGTTCGGAATCAATCCCTGACTCTTGTTGGAACAGACCTTTTATGTTCCAATTGTATAGAAGGGAAAATTTGTTGTATAAAGACAAGTATCCGAATTTGTATACAACAATAATTGTATTAACAGAATTATTCGTTCTTATACAGAATATGTTTCCGTTTTTAACGTGTAAAACGCGTCTTATAATGGTTAAGTGATCGTCACCTCTCGGTGCATAATCGGTTATGATCGTAAAATTTCCGACAGTCCGCTGTGCGTCGACTTACAACTATTACACGTCTAGTTTGATGAAAATAGACAGTATAGGCACATGTTTTGTGGAATACATGATCATATCGCGTTGTGTGAAATGGAAAATTATGTATGTATCTAACTGTTTTATGGCTTATATTTGTTTTGCTTTTTCAAATGTAAATCTTGTCTAAATCTTAAAAATTATTATTTTGTATGCCCTATTAGAAACCGATGATGTTAAGTTTTACATAAAATGGAGGAACAGAAGGTTAACGGTGACAAAGAAGAGCATGGGTATAAAGTCTATCAACCAGAGGAAATAGAATTGGATGGAAAGAACCTCAACCTTTCAGGGGATGCTTCATTTTTAAGGTGGAAGAGTTATAGTGCAAATTCTCATGTAATACAAGAAAATATACGGATGCATCGTTGCTAAGAAAATAAACCGGACAGTTTTGGGAGCGATTTGTCATCATTTCTAATATTTAAATGTATGTTTTATGTTTACATTAGAACCTTAGCTTGTAATTACAGTTATCCAATAAAATTTCTGAAAACAATGTCATATGTTTTTAACTCATACAGAGTATACAACAGTTTAATACATTTATTATTATAAAACTTATAACCAGCACTAGTTGTTCTAATAACGATATGGAACACTTTAATAACAGTTATTGCTATATTATTTCGTAAAGAGTATAAAAAAACTAGTTACTACTACTACTATACTAGTTATACGATAATTTAATAAAGAATAAGGTTTATAGTCACTATACAACTGTGCTAGTAGTACGCGTTTTATATCCAATATTCACCTGTTTAACTGTACAGGGTGATTCTTTTATCATGGGAAATGAGTTTTTCTCGTAAACGGTTGCAGCAAATTGAGTTCTGTAAAAAGTATTTTATTTGGGCTGATTGATGCTTGAAATTGCGATGGATATGAAAGTTATAATTAAGCGCTTCAAAAATTTTTTTGTCAGATGCATACCATTTTTATTATATAATGGCGCCTATATCGAGCAATTGTTAAAATAAGATTTGTGAATTAAGAGTTAATTTTTACTAAACACAGTTCATGTTATTCTTTAGTGTTTTATGTATTGGTTGTTGTTAGTGTAAACGTTCATTATTTCTTAAACAANCATGATTGTTATTTTTAAAATAATTTTGAAACAGAAAAACTACGTTTTTGTAGAAAAAATGAGAATTGAATTATTGAACTATTGAATGAGAATGAATGAATTTGAATATATTATGAATTTTGGATATTTTTGATGATTATATTGATAGAATAATAATTGTCGATGATGTATAATATCAATTTGTTCCAATGAGTGAAAAAAATTGGGTCTAAAACGAAGAAACAAAAATTTAATTTTTACTTGAGCTTCAATCATGAATAACTTTTGAAGGAGTAAACTTCTGCAAAAATGTTAAGAGATCTTTTTTGCAGGCCATGAAATTTCCTTTGAAAATCTGTATTGTTCTTTTTCAGATATTAATTTGTTTGTTATTAACTAAATTCCATAGTTAAAAAGTCAAATCGAAAAAACATATCAATTTTCAAGGCCTGATTACATGGAAACTGCTCGTCTGCCGAAAATGTTTGTAGGGCATTCAATTTCCTTCAAAAATATATGTAGATAAATTTTTTTACCTCGATAGTTTGGCAATTTTGACGCAAAAATGGGATCAGGAATAAAAAATCGAAACTAGCGATGATTCTACAAAATATTTACCTGAATTTTAAACGAATTTGTTCCTTTCATCATGAACGTACTGTATAAAGTAGTTCATATATTCTGACCACCTTTCCTTTTTTCTTTTTTTTTACCAGGAAAAAATAGTAGAGAACACAGTTGTAGGAACTTTTTCGCGATATAAAAAAAATTGGCGAATTGTGGATGGTCTTTGCACACCAGAAATTCCGCTCATCTGAATCTACTGGTTTACGTGCTCCGACCGAAACCCATACTAACCTGCACGTGCGGTGGTGTTCCCAAAACGTAGATCACGGCATTTGCCACATCTTCAGACTGCAAGCTGGGCGCTATCCGTAGCAACTTGAGTACTTCTTCGTCGTCCAAGAACCCATTAGCGGCGTAGATGTCGGTGTTAACGTTCCCAGGACTGACGCTCTAGAAGAAAAGCCTTTTCAGATATAAGAAGTTAGGGTCAATTAATTTTTAATACTTTGGGCATGAACGTAGGAATAAAAATAGTTAAGTAAAACAATTCCGGGTATATTTTTTAGAAAAAAACATGTTTGGAGTTTTTTTGAGCACTCTTTCAGATAGCTTCAGCTGTTTTGATTTGACAAATGCCTATTCATCCAATATTATTGTAGTTTTCNGGGTATATTTTTTTAGAAAAAAACATGTTTGGAGTTTTTTTGAGCACTCTTCCAGACAGCTTCAGCTGTTTTGATTTGACAAATGCCTATTCATCCAGTATTATTGTGGTTTTCATAGTACTCTTATCACTATGGTAGATTGTTTATATCAGTTTTACAAGCCTATGTGTATAGAGATACAGAATTAATGGATATATCAATTTATGGTGAAAGTAAGGCAAAATACATCATCAACTCATCGTATGTAGAACGTTGTACATACCACCGGAAAAATGCTAAATATTAGTCAAATCGCCACGGTGGATGGAAGTCATCTGCCGTTGCAGAAGGTGTAACTAAATAAGTGTAAAACATTTAAGGGGGTGATTCCTCATCGAAAAAAGATAGGATCTTTCATATAAAGAAACTTCATTGGAGCATCCCTTGTTAAGATACAGCCCCTTAAAGGGGGTACATAAAATTTGTTTAACAATTTTTTTCACAAGCACTAAACAAGTTACAATATTGAAATTAACCTGACATTTTCTACTACCAAAAAGACACTTAGCCAGTAATTTATTTGGTTTACCCCATGGTTGTAAGGGGTGGAAAACGCAACCCCTAAAATTTATTTCCAACGTAACTTTTTGTCTTATTATTTTTTTACCATTTAAAAAATTATTTCCGATAGCCTGTTTCATTCTAAAAAAAAATGTCTCTTGAATTTTTTGCCCAAATTAAACCAGTTCGCAGTAAAAAATTATTTTACGAACAACTACAGAGATACATCGTCATAAATGCGGACTGGATTTACTGTTATTTTGTAGTTACTACCTGCATTAAATGATTAAAGGGGAATAATCAAAACTAATTTA